GTTGGAGAATACATTTAGAAAAAAGTAGAGGGCCAGCAGAGCTACAGAGAAATCCGAGAGAGGAGACTTCGAATAGGTGAAGGTTAGACAAAATAGAAATCATTTGTAACCCTTAAGAGTGGGCTTTCAGCAGAAGGTGTGATTAGAAGTGAGATGGTAGGGAATGAAAGAGTGTGGGAAGGAAGCAATGAGTGATCATTTATTTGAGAAATTTGGCCAGGAAAGGAAGGAAGACATAGCTTAGGGGTGGCGGATATGTGTGTGTGTGTGTGTGTGTGTGTGTGTGTGTGTGTGTGTGTGGTGTGTGTGTGTGTGTGTGTGTGATTGATTTTTTGTGTAGTTGCAAGTTTTTTTTTTTTTTTTTTTTTTTTAAGGGTAAGAAGGGTATGAGAAGCTTATGATATTCAAAAACAAGATTGTTTTTCCAAACCAAAGATCAGAATGGAATAATGATATGCTTTTGGCAGAGGGTAGGGAGGGAAGAACTTACTTGGCAGGGTGCTCACCCATGTGAGAAGGGGGGCTTGAAACTGATATTTGAGGGAGAGGCAGAAAAAATCCTGACTAAAATGGAGAAGCCAAACATTAGGAAGACTGACTGGGACAAAGAAATGGAAGTGGTGTCCAGTGACCAGCAGAAGCCTTTACAGGGAAGAGAGTGAGCTTAAATGCCATGTGATGTGACCAGATACATCCATTGCAGAGGGTGGCTAAAATTCAAGTAATTATATTTGATAAATATAACATCTATAATTTATTGAATATTTCATAAGTGCTAGCTTTTCTCATGACACTCCAAATGCATTGGAACTGGAGTTCATAGAAATTAAGTAATTTACCTAATTCATACAAGAACAAACAGGTCAAAAGTTGCAGTCACATTCAAACCTTAGTTTGTCCATTCTCTGACCCACTCAGTTCTACTGAGTTGCCAGGCTGTTAAAGGTGACCTCACAGATGTTTGGATGGAAAAGATGAGTTTGGATGAGTGTGCCTTTCAGAAGGACAGTAACTGATAGAAGTGGTGGAGGGACTGAACTTGGATGTCAGGGAAGAGGTTTGGGAATTCACAGCCGTGGGGACAGGCTCATCATAGAGTAGCTACATGCTGGTGGGTCAATGGAAGCTTTGGATAGAGAAGATGTGGCTTTCCTAATCACCTCAAAGCTGATCCAACAGAAGGCGAGACACAGTTAGAATGGTCTTCTATCATCTCTTGAACAATAACAGTTTTACTTAATGAAAAGCAGAGCTTCAAATTATTTCTTTCTTTCTTTCTTTTTTTTTTTTAGGAGTAAATTCTTTTAAAAAATATATTTTATTGATTTTTTACAGAGGGATAGAGAGTTAGAAATATTGATGAGAGAGAATCATCGATCAGCTGCCTCTTGCACACCCCCTACTAGGGATGTGCCTGCAACCAAGGTACATGCTCTTGACCGGAATCAAACCTGGGACCTTTCAATCCACAGGCTGACGCTCTATCCACTGAGCCAAACTCGTTTTGGCATCAAATTATTTTTTGAACTGCCCAGTAGACAATATGATTGCCAAAAGATACAGAACGCAGCAAAAAACCTCCCATCTTGGGTTGAATTTGATTAACTGAAAAATAACTAGGTATGAAGTGAAAAGGAAAAGAATCTTGGGGAAATCAATGACTTTATATGAGCCAGGCAGATCAGAAAAAAACCTTGGCCATTAAGAAGGAAAATCAGAGAAAATTTAGACCAAAGATCTTAAAGAGAAGATGACTTAAGAACACTGGAAAGTTCAGAAAAGCAAAATTGTGAAGACACAACCACAGTCAGTAGGCATGGATATGAAGAATAAATAAGAGAAATTGGACACTCAGAAATGTCAGTTGGATAGTGGTCCAGTTATTGAACTTGGATTTGCAAGGGACAAGCACCAAGAGGCTCCAGAATCAGAGAAGTTCATGACATGGGTCCAGTCTCTGAGTTATACAAAAGCTGACCAAAGTAGGAACTCAAAAAGTGTCATTAGAGTCAGACCAGCGTGTGGAGGGACCAAGTAAAGCAATCTTATTATGCTAAATCTGATTTTAAAAGATTGTAATTATCATAAGAGCCAGCATTTACTGAGTGGGTCCCATGTTCTAGGCATTGTTTGAAGTATTTCTCATGCACTTAATATATACAACAACCCCAAGAAATAGGTATCATCAGTATTCATATTTTATTCTCATATAAGGATAAGTTAATTACTTGTCCAGTAGAAGGTGGTGTATTAGTCGATAGCAGGGGTGGGGAACATCCAGCCTGCGGACCCGTAAGGCCTTAGAAAACATTTGGTCTGGCCCTGCCAAGGCATTAGGGTTGAGTTAATTAAATGTTTGATCAAATATAGCAGACAGGATTTTAAGTTGATAATTTTATATGGCCCTCGAACGATGTTATAAATATCCAAAAGGTTCTTGGCAGAAAAAAGGTTCCCCACCCCTGGTGTGTGCAGAGAAGAGGCCATGTGAGGACACAGTGAGAAGGCAGCTTGTCTCCAAGCTCAGAAAAAAGGTTTCACCATAAATCAAACCTGATAGTATCCCGATCTTGGACTTCTAACCTCCTGAACTGTTTAAACCAGCCAACCTGTGGCATTTTGTTATGGCAACCCTAGCTGTCCAATATACCTGCCAAGCCTGCTTTCCTATGACGGAGGGAATAATGATTAAAGCCTGATCATGGCGCCTATCCCACCACTTGTTCCAAGAGTAGACATGTAAAAAGCTGAGCGTGGTGCCTGGTGCATAGTAAGAGCTTGATGATTTCAATTGATATTGTTGTTAATACAGAAGTATGGTTTCCTCACAGTATCCTGGCCAATGATAGCCCCCCTCCCCACATGTAGGTATGGGGTTGAAACTGGTCCTGCACTTCTGAAACCTTTTTGAGAACGGAAGAGTATGCACACACCCTCTTGGGGGCAGAGGCACAAGAAATGTTTGCTGGAATGATTTTTCAGGTCTCATGTTTTATCTTAAAAGCACATACAGATTTTGCATTCTAATTAATACTTAGTCATGTTCTGCTGATAAAGTGCAATAATTTATTATGGCAGACAATTACAACTAAGGATCTAGACAAATAACTGGGCCTATGTGCCCCATCTACTTTGCTGGCATTTTGAGAAAGCCTTTACAAGTCACAAAGAACTTTTCTGATGTGAGGACTTATTAATATCCTCTTTTTAAAAAACCCAGCATTACAGTTAACCTGAGGTGCATTGTAAATTATGTTTCATGTAACTAACTGAACCATTGTTAGTGAGCTACTACTGTGTGCCAGAGTATCATCTACTTCCAGCCTTCCAGAAGCTCACAGTGGGGCAGGGGAGGTACATGCTAACAGGTAGTTGGATAACTAACTTAGTTATGGCCCATTGTGATGAGAACTGGGAAGGAGAAGGAAAGTTAGCCTTGGAAAGCCTGCAGTGGGGGAGAGGGTCAGAGCCTTGGAACATTCTGAGTCCTAACAGATTCCCGGGAAGTCCAGCTTCCTGGAGAGTGTGCTCCTGAGGCTGCCTTCTGAAATGAAGCCTCGGTTAGTAAGTTCTTACACTTGATCTTAGCCAAAAGGCCGAGAAGCGATTGTTTATTAAGTATTAAAACTAAATGAATTATTGTCACCCTTGGTGTGTCTGAAGAAGACATAGTCTGCTTTCCATAATTCTGGATTTTTGTACCAGGGCCTGACAGGGTGGAATTTGACAATTGGCCGGCGTGTGTGTGTGTGTGTGTGTGTGTGTACGCAGCTAATTGGATGGGGGAGCTGTGTTCTGCTTTATATGTGTTATGTGGGAGGTGGGACAAAGGAATGAGGGACATCAGAGGTGCGTCTTTTCTCTTTCTCATTTTCCTCCCCTGCAAGTGTGGCTACTCTGTCCAGACTTGTCTGGTGAGAACTGCTTTATAAATCTTGAACTGGGAGCCAGGGGTCCTCTGCAGCCCTCTGAACTCTGGCTTTATCTGTAATACGAGTGCACGGGAGGCTGCCTATGCACAGGTCCCTGCCCCCAGTGCCCTCCTAATTGCTTCCACACCCCTGGCCGCTCCTGCCCCCCTAATGGCCTCCGAACAGCACACAGGAAGACGGAGGAAGTGTGAAAGATGATTGTAGGGAGGGGGAAGAATTTTCCATTTAACCATAATAACAAGAATAATAATTCCCCACAAGCACCAGTTTATCAAGTGTATTCACACAGGCGGTCTCTTTGGATCCCGGAGGTGGGGGTTTAGGACCTTGGTGTCCTAGCCTCAGACACGGTCCCTATGTCCAAGCAGGCCACCTCTTTACAGCCTCATGCTCTTTGAGATGTCCAGGCCTTTTCTTAAGCACAGCCCCTACTCTCTTTTCTCAGGTCACTTCTAATTTCTGCAAGCCCCCACCACTTCTGTGAGAATGCTATCAAATACACTCATCTGAGAGTGCAAGCAGGAAGGGGTCTGGGAGCCTCTGGCACCGGCCCAGAGAGCAGAAGGGATTGGGCTGAGGCCACACAGCGTGTCAGGAACAGAGCCAGGGCTCAGCCACGGAGAGAGCCAGCGCCTGCCCTTTCTCCTCCCAGTGCCCTGGGCAGCTGCGGGCTCCATCTCCCCGGTCTCCCCCAGGCGCACAGTGGGGTCTTGCATGTGGGGTGTTGCTGGACTGTAACCTGTCAACCTTGGTGTACCCCTCCTGAGAGAAATGGGGTGGAAAAGCCCGCCGGACTCGGGAATCTGGTGGGGGATTCCTTTAAGAAGTTAATTAAGATTGAGTGATGAGACACTGGTTTTACACACAGGAGACCACTCAGCTCCAGGACCGACAGAAACCGGGCTGCCAGGGACAGCAGGAGGCACCTGCACACGCAGCCCCCCGCCTCCCACTGCCCGCCCCACCGCCCCACGGTGCCTCCCCCCCACCTCCTCGCTGGCCTCCTGTTCGCCCGGTTCTCCCTTCCCCGCCCCGCGCAGCAAATGCGGCCTTGGCGGCTCCCCTTACCCCGGCCTCGGTCCATGGCGCGGCCAGTGATCGCCGCCGGGCGGCCTGGGCGCTCGGTGCGGGCTGCGGTGGCTCCGGCAGGGCTGGCGGCGGGCGGGCTGCACTTTCCAGTCAGCCCCGCGGGAGCGCCCTCCGTGCGTCCCCTCCCCCAGACAGGATGCCTGCCCGGCACCCGCCCGCCCCTCCACGCCTCTCCTGGAATAGACCCGGAGCACGCCTCGCCCCCTGGGCCGGTGGTGTCCCCTGTCCCGCACACGCCCGTGCCACGCCCTCCTTCCGCAGCCCTCCCCGCCCCTCCCGGAGGACTGGCTTTCCGGTTGCCGTGCTTTCGGGTCGGCACCGCGTCCTGAACCAAGGTGGTGCTTGTTCTCCATTAGCGATGGGGGGCTCACTATCGTATCTCCCAGCCCATGCCGTCTTCAGATTGTTGAGGCGCGTTAGGACATGCCTCCGCTTCCCCCATGGAATCCAAACTTCTCTCTCTGCGGCGGCCATCCGTTTCCTGGCTTTGGGTTTATCATCTTCAGTGGACAAGTCTTTCCTGAGCAACTTCTAGTGCCAGACAGTGGAGCAGGTGCTATGCCAGTGTCCATAATGGCGCGAAAGAGGAGTGGAGTAATAATAATGAAAAACAATACCTTGTACAGAGGCAGAGAAACGAGGAAGGGCCTGAGAAAGAGCATCCTGCCCTTTCCTGGACTGGGGACTTTTTCTTTATTGCTTTTATGGGTAGGTTGAAATTAATGTTGGCTTTGCAAAATTGCCCGGGCAGTTTGCTTAGTGTACCTGTGAGCACTTGGAGGAAATGTGGTGTAGTGAAAAACAACAATGGGATTTGAGTCTGAAACAAACGTGTGTGTGAAGTCTTACTCCACTACTTTTTAAATGTGTAATATCCAGCCTTTGAGGCTTGCTTGCTCATCTGTGCTGCAGGAAACCTCATACTGGCCTCGTAAGACTGTTCGCAGGCAAATGAAATGATGCTACAAGTCCACTTTCTAAACCATAAATAACCATGAAAATGTGCACATTATTAGTTTCCAACTTCCTCTTTGTTCCTGCCCACTTTTCCAATTTGAAAAGATCAGTTTAAATTCTAAAGCAGACAACCAACAATTTACAAGTGGATGAAGTTCTAAAAGTTCACTACTTGAACTCTGATAATTTGGGAATTAGGGCTATAAATTGTAAAGTTCTTTTAAATATATTTTATTATTGATTTTTTACAGAGAGGAAGGGAGAGGGATAGAGAGCTAGAAACATCAATGAGAGAGAAACATTGACCAGCTGCCTCTTGCACACCCCTCACTGGGGATGTGCCCGCAACCAATGTACATGGTCTTAACCGGAATTGAACCTGGGGCCTTTCGTTCCGCAGATCGACGCTCTATCCACTGAGCAAACTGGTTTTGGCTATAAATTGTAAAGTTCTAAGACTAGCCCGATAATACTTTAAAAACATAATATTTATTTCACTTGAAATAATTTTACAATGAAGAACATCACTATTGCAAAAACAGATGGAGGCTTGGGTATTAAAGCAGTTCTCACTAGACAAGTCTGGAAAGAGTATCCACATTTGCCGGGGAGGGAAATGAGAAACTTTCAGGGTCTTTGGAGGTTTATCAGAGAATTGGAAAGAAAAGTCAAAGGGCTAAAAAGGATTTCTCTGTATCTGTAGAAGAATCTTAACTGAACTCTGGTCTGGGAAAGATGTAAAAAACTGGAGAACATGGTTTGTGCATAGTTCTAAGGATTAACAAAAAGATGTAGTCTGGTTTAGGGAATAATGTCCACTTGGTGGCAGTGTTGACTAAATTGACTACAGGTTGGTTGTGGACAGGAAAATGGAATGAGATGGATGAGGAGGCTGCTTGTGGGTTTTGGCAAGGAATAATCATATATATATATTTTTTCTTTAATGAACTTTATAGTTACAGCTATACTCACTTATCATCAGTTCACTTAGGAATGTTTATTGCCCTCTGTGTAAGTTTTTATTGGGAGAACTAATACTAAGTAGGAATAATCTCTTCAAATAAACTGTAATCTAGGAAATAAATTATGTACAAAACAATTTAATTACAAATTATTATGTGAAAATCACCTGAGTAGGATGGAGTGATTTTTTAAAACGGTGTTTTTATAATTGATTTTCAGAGAGAGGAAGGGAGAGGGAGATAGAAACATCAATGATGAGAATCTTTGATTAGCTGCCTCCTGCACACCCCATATGGGGGACTGAGTCCATCACCAGGGCATGTGCCTTGACCTGGAATTGAACTGCGACCTCCTGGTTCATAGGTTGATCCTCAACCACTTATCCACACAGGCTGGGCAGAGATAAAGTGCTTTTAGTTAATAAAAACAAAGCAAGAATTTCTTACTAATCATGGTGACAGTATTGGAAGACAGACTTGGGTGAGTCTGCACTGAAGAGATAACATTACAAGCAGAGAAAACATAAGAGCAAAGACACAGAGATAGAAAACTGCAGGCTATATCTGCAAACCATTTGGTTTGGCTGGACTGAGGGGTGTCGGGTGGTAAGCACTGGGGAGAGAGGGATCTGAGGGGCAGTTGCAGGGGCTGTGGATGCCTGGTTTTCTCCTCCCCTTCACGTTTCCCTGTTAAGAGTACAACTACCAGGAAAGGATTTTTAGGATCTGCCTCATGCCTTCCCTTTCGTGCTTGCTCAGTACCAAGTCTTCCAGGTTCGCCCCGTACTGTCAAAAGAATTCTGGGTGAAGAGCTTCAGCTCTGTTAAAAACGATATCAAATTCGGTCCTGGGAACAATACCAGGAAGAAAGCTTTCAACTCCCTCATGCTGCCAGTCTTGTGAAAACAAATGATACTCTTCAGCTTCATTCTTAGCTTATCACGTAGAACTGGGAAGCCATGGGAAAGGAATATTTGGAGGCTAAAGGTTCTTTGTCCCAGTGAGAGAAACATACTCTAGCGTTCTAACTTGTCACCTTGTCCCCAGGTCTGCTTCCATGCTGGCCACCAGAGTGATCATTCCATGATCCCAATTAGATTCTTCCTAAAATATGTGGTGGCTCTTGCTTGCCCTCAGTGTAGAGTCCACATTCCTTATTAGGTATTTAGGGTACCTTCTTCACTGAGCCCCAACCTCCGAGTAGACAAACATTGATCTCAGGAGACCTTGGAAGACCATAGGTTGGGGATTCGAATCTGGATTTTTGAGCTGACTCTGTCGCTGTGTGAGTCTCAATTCTTCCATTGGGTCATCGATGTAGAATTTCCTTACTTCTCTCCTTGCCCCTCCCTGGCCCTTGGATTTCAAGCACTGCAGGGGTGGGTGCTGTGTCTTACTGCTCCATCCTTCGCGTAGTGCCTGGCACTTAGCAAGTGGTAACGTCTTGTAGAGTAAGCCAGTGTGTAAATGCTCAAGTATTCAGGAGGCTTCTGAGAATCATGTGTCATTGGGGCCGGTGGTGGGGTGGTGGTGTCATTTACCCTCTAGGATCGTTTGTTTGCTTATTTACTTGCAGAGGAAAATGACTTTGCATTGAGGTGTTCTGGGAGCAATGCCTCTGTGCTTTCCACCCTCATTGCATGTTGCTGTAGACATGCAGCCCAGCCCAAGGGGCTTCTCCTTTCCTCAGGGCCCCTCTCCCAAGCTCCTTTGTGCAGGGCAAGCCCCAAAACCCCTTACTCGAATGTCTGCTCAGTGCTGGTCACTGGATGAAAACCTCTCTTGTTCCCCTCCGCACAATGATGCCATTATAGCCCCTATCCAGGAAACTGACACACGCCTGCTGCTCCGCTCTGGGCCCCGGAAAGCAGATAGGGATCTGAGGGGCAGCTGCTGGGAGAAAGAGAGTTTCACGGATGGATGAAAACTCCTTCTTTTGTCATACCTTCAGCGTCTGTTCCAGGACAGGGGCTCCTACCTGCACCCAGGCTTCAGGGCTTAGTCTCAGGAGTCAGCAGTGGCTACTGCACCAGTTGTAATGGAGGAAAAAGGACTTTTGTTTTCATGTCCAAATGCCCAGCCCTCCTTTTGTGTCCTTCCTCCAGAAACGAGAGCCCTTGGCTCCATAAATGAGTCGCACAGACTGAAGCACCTGCAGGGCCAGGGGGAGGTGTATGTAAGCAGGCCAGGGGGGCAGTGGCAAATCAGGACACTCTTGTTTCAGCAAAAGGCCAGTAGCCAGCAACCTGGGCTGGTGTGACCAGTGGGAACATGGGACCGAAGTAGCCAGATATTCAGACTTTTTAGGAGAGTCCACAAATCCAAATTTTAGTATAAAATTTCTTTTGATATAAAAGTGTTGGTAACTAATACCAATTGATTTAAGACATTGCAAAAGCTAGTTAAAACACCCCTGTGACTTAATCTGGCCTATAGCCCCCCCCCCCCCCCCCATATGGAACTCTGAGGAAAACTGTGGACCCAGGAAGAATTCTGGGGAATCTGTCCAGCTGGGTATCTCCACCCTGAGGGATGAAATGATGCCCAACAATACAGCACAGACTAGCTTTCCCCCAAAAGGCTGGGCTGCATGCCCATCTTCTCCTCTAGGCATCAGGCTGACTCCAGGCTGCAGGTCCAAAGTGGATTTCTTAAACCTGAAACTAGAAAAACTTTTGAGCCAAGAGGAGCCTGAGAGACTAGCCAGTTGAAGTCTTCCTTTGTCCGATGAGGAAATTGGGGCAAGAGAGGAAGAAGTCTTGCCTGAGATCACTTAAGACCTGAGAGGCAGAACCAGGAGTGGTACCCTGAGCTCCACACTCGATGACACCAGAACCACACTCCTCCTGCCCCCACAGTGTCACTCTCTTCAGTTTGTGGGACACAAAGAGCTTGACTTCGCAAAGAGGTGGATCTGAGTTTGATAACCAGTTCAGAGCATGATCTTCAACCTCTCTGAACCCCAGATGTCTCAGCTAAAAATTGGGGCTAATGTAAGGTGACCAGACGTCCTGCTTTTGGTGGGACAGTCCCGATTTTTAACAATTTGTCCCGCGTCCCGCGGCGTTTTAAAAAG